CTAGCAGCAGCAAGCGTGAGGCGGAGAGGAGCTACGGCGCGTGGCATGTGTGGAGCCATGAACAGGGCCAACTAATCAAATCCGATTAATCGATGATTGAAAACGTTGACGACTTTTTCAATCATAAATTATAATCGATTAGTTGTTGCAGCCCTACATTCACCCCCGATTTCTGGGGACAGTCCCCAGACAAATTATGTCCCCTGGAACATAAAATAAAAATATTTTTTTTGAAAACTCACCTGATACCTGAATCCACCGACAAGCGCAGCCTCTCGTCTCCCACGCTGTCACAATATGCATACAGCGTGTGCTGGTTACTACTTAAACTGGCGCAAGAGGTGTGCAGCTACTGAGAAGATACGCTATTAGCGTAGCGGGGAAGCCGGCTGCACATTTTGCATGGGTCCCGCTACGCTAATAGCGTATCTTCTCAGAAGCTGCACACAGCGCGCGCCGGTTTAAGTAGTAACCAGCACACGCTGTATGCAGCTTCTGACAGCGTGGGAGAGCATTCGTTGCAGCTCTGTGATCGGCGGCCGCTCGACCCTTAAGGGGGTCCTCGGAAGGCCCCCAGCGGGCGGCCCTCTATCATGCCCGCTGAGGGGCGGGCTTCCGATGATTGCAGTGCTGAGCGCGCAGTGTGCGCTTGCGCACATCGGCCTGTGCAGCATTCATCTCCCGAGCACGCCACTAACCCACCGAAAATGGTAGTATTTTCGGCAGGTTTTCAAGCGTGCTCTCAAGACGAATGTCGTGCGACCTTACAGTAGAAGAGGTCGCACGCTGCCCATACAGTTGCCGATTATCATATGATCGCAGGAGCACCCGTGATTATCGTACGATAATCGGCAGGTGTATGGGCACCTTAAGCCAGCAGAGCATGTAGGGGAAGAACCAATCACACATTTACTATTTCCTTTCAGCATACATTGTTTTTTGGTTTTTGTAACCAAATTGTAAGTAAAACAAAAATGAAGTGGAAGGAAGTGTTGAGAGTGATTTGCTGTAATACATTCTGTCTTTACCTTTATAAAAATCTTGTAATTGTAACATGACTGATGACCAAAGTGAAGGAGCTTTACAGAAACCATCATCACAGAGAATCACTTTATATACTGAAGGGAATTTATCAAAACTGGAGCAGACAAAATCTGGAGCAGCTGTGCATGGCAACCAATCAGCTTCTCTCTTTAGTTTGTTCAGTTAAGATTTGAAAATGAAATGTGGATGCTGATTGGTTACCATGCACAGCTGCTTCATATTTTGTCTGCTCCAGTTTTGATAAATTCCCTTCACAGTGTTTTACATGGTGTTGATATGTTTTCTAGCCTATTACAGAGTAAATATAAAAACATAAAGAGGGACCAGTTTTAGATTTTGTTTGTAAAAAAAAAGGGGAATTGCAGCAACATTGGAAGTGCAGCAATCCAATTTTAGGTAGCTAAGCAAGGCTCTTTAGTTGATTGTTGAAACTATTTTCTGTGGAGTTTTGTAATGTTACAACACAAAATAATGCATTGTATGATTTTACAGGAGCAACAAGTTAGACATGTCAACCGCTAAGCAAGAGTACTTTTAACTTCGGACATTGGGCTCAATACACAAAGCTGTTTTTCTATTGTTATAGTATTATTTTCTTCATGCCACACCTTATGTAGCTCATTGTTTCCTTCATACCGCACCTTATATCTCTAAATGCTCAATTCACACACATGCATAACATGCTTTATTTAGCTTGCTCCTTGGTGTTATTTTACTACAGCAAGTGTTTATATTACACTGTCCGTGTTATTTTTACAAATGTTGAAGTGCCGATAAAGGTTTTTTTACACCAAGGATTTCCACTTCTGCCTGTGAAATAGGATTATGTGCAGGGGTTGTAAGTTTACAGTTATCAGTGTT